GGAACCTCGGTGAGGACATCAGGATCTGCCATCTTTAGCAGCAAACTTCAACTTTAAATAAACCAAATTCAGAAAAAAAGAGATTAGCTAGGCATAAGGACACAGTAATCATTTTAAATCTAGAATAATCAACCCATTAGGTAACTGGCAGCTACCACCCTTGAAGTGCCACAAAGGTACTCAAGCCATTGTTTTAAAAGACTCATAATGCCTGGGCGCCTGGGTGGCTCAGTTGGTTAAGCGACTGCCTTCGGCTCAGGTCATGATCCTGGAGTCCCGGGATCGAGTCCCACATCGGGCTCCCTGCTCGGCAGGGGGTCTGCTTCTCCCTCTGCCCTCTTCCCTCTCATGCTCTCTCTCATTCTCTCCCTCTCAAATAAATAAATAAAATCTTTAAAAAAAAAAAAAGACTCATAATGCCTAAGCATTTAAACAGAGAATAAGATTTTCCTCTAGAGTACAAAGATTACACTTAAAAAGCTTGACATATTTCTTAAATGTTAATTTTCATGATCTACAGTGCTTGATTCTAAAAAGTAACTTACTACTTACAGCAACTACTACTACTTATTATATCAAGCCCACTTTATTTTGGAAAGAGAAACAAAAAAGATAAATGACGCCTCACCACTGTTAATGCTATAGATCTTTGGGAATGCTGGAAAACCCCTGAGAAACCTAGCAGTTAGCATATCCTTAAAGTGTCTTTATTTCTTTTCTTGAGTAAAATTTTTCTACCAAAATCTATTCTAGGATGTTTTACTTAGTCATGCTCTCACAATAAAATCATAAAAAGCCGATAAACACATAAGTAATCCCCGGATGGGTGTTTGGCAAAATTACTGTTATAAATCTGAAAGAAATTAACACTTAGATCCAGATAGCTTTACCAACCTTGCAAAGTTAAATCTGATGACCAATTAAGTAAATAGTCCTTAAATTAAAAAAAAAAAAAAGCCCAAGATATCCTTAAATACTGGATCCCTTCTTGCAGGACAAAGCAGAGGCTAACTGTACCCAATTCTCATGTCATGACCCAGAAGACTGTCTTCCACAAGCCCAAACTAGCATGGGCTAGACTCTGACGTGGCTGTTAAAAAGCCTGCACTTTGGAATTCAGTTAGCCTGCTTTTTTTAGTAGCTGTGTGATCCTGAGCAAATCCCTTAAACAACTTCACATTTTACTCTGAGAAATAAGGATAATATCAATTACCTAAATGAGGTTGTTGGGTGAATAAATGAGAATGTTAAGCAATATGCTTATTAGGAAGTACTTGTTGATAAGGATAGCTTCCATATTGACTTCATATGTCCCATACTAAAAATGGCCAGGCTACCTACACAGGCTACGACTAGTGAAATTTCCCTATACTACAGGGAAATTCTTAACAGAGACATCCCACTGAACTATTTCAATAGAGAATCATATTCTGTTATTACTATTAGTTTCTATTGAACCTTTTATTTATAATCAGTGGTTATCAATGCAATCAGATTTAATACCTTTTTTAGAATATTTTTATATCCACAGTACTATACTATCAAGGTATTCCTAAACAACCAATCTAAGCACATATTTTTGGGGAGAAATACAATGCCCTGTGTGTAATAAAGGAAAAGGAAAGTCAATTGTAGTATTTCAGATTGTAAATAATCACACATGACAAGAGATAAAGCAGCACCTAGATCCAAACCTGTAGTCCTAGAACCTTCCTGTCATCCCAATGCTTAAGGATGCTGAGCAAGTATCTGGGTTCAACACCAGAGTAGTATTATAGCATACTACTGGGTACATTTTGTTCTCCTTTCCAATTTGGTCTATACATTGTACTAGATCCCAGTTTTTTGTTTGCTTTGTTTTACATGCTCCACAGTTGGCAGAACACAACATATAACCTCTGAAACATCCAAAAGACCAAAAATGGCAGACAAATGTCAAAATAAATTACTTTTTCAGTATTATTTTCTACAGTTATATTGCCCTCCCTGATCTCCCACCCCACACACTCCATTTTCTAGACCAGTAGTTCTCAACCCTGGCTGTAAAGCAGAATCATCTGGGGAGCATTTAAAAATACCCATCCTGGGCCCCATTGCCAGAGATTCTGTTTCAGCTGGTCTGGGAGAGCCAGAGAAGGCATCATGTTATTTTAAAAGCTCTTTAGGTGACTCCAGTACACAGAAAAGTCTCTGACCACTGTTCCAGACAAATTTGGTGGGTGGCTATCACATGTCCTGCCAATGCACATTATCATTTTGCCTGTTTCCTTTGCCTGAAACACCTGAGGGGGCACTAAAGATTTGAGTAAGGGAGTGTTATGAGGGACTCTGCAGGACAATACTTTTGGGTTTTGAATCCCAGTTCCACCATTTCCTAGCCTGTGACCCTACAAAATTCTCAGTTTCCTCACATATAGAAGTAACTGACAGCACCTTCCTCACAGATTTGAAGTATGGATTAAATGAGATACTTCATATAAAGTGTTCTGTTTTCAGGGCTGGAATCATAAGAGTATCATTAAATACTGGCATTGATAATAAGACCCTCTATATAGAAAAGTGACTCTTAGAATAATTCTAAGAGGAATGAACTGAAGTATTGAAGATGAGGTACTGCAGAAGTATTAGGAGCCATAGTAACCAAACCTAAACTAAGGAAGAAGAGGGCAGGATGAATGAAATTTATTATAGAAACAAAATTAAAAGAATCTGATAATATATTGGAAGTGGAGTAACAGAGTAGGAAAATTTTAAGTAGTTATTTGGGTTTTTCTTTTTTTATAATATTTTTTATTGGTAAAATACACATAACACAAAATTTATCAATTAACCATTTTTAAGTATACCAGTTCAGTGATATTAAATACAATCATAATGTTGTACAATCACCACCACCACCTCCATAAGTCTTTTCATCTTGTAAAACTGAAACGCTACACCCATTAAACAATGACATATTTAATGTTATTAAATAACTGCATTGAGCCAGTGTGGCTAGGAAGAGAATACTACCACTATGAAAAATGGGTTAACACCTGAAAGAGGAACAGGTTTATGAGAAATGAGGCATTCACTTTTAGATGCTTGTCTCTGAGGAAATACCAGAGAATATTCCATGAAGATGTCCAGTAGGTAGCTGAACAAATGAAAGTGGAGCTCAGGAAAGAAGGCATGCTGTTCCAGCTTATGCAAACTCTCTACATTCTAAAATCATCCTTCCTGACCATTTTGTTCTCTCCTCTACCACTTCTACTTCCCCACTTACGATGAATCTCCTACTCAGGTCTTTGGATTTGTTACATTACTTAAGTCAGAGGTCTCAAACTGGCAGCCTCTGTCACATTGTTTGACCCAAAGAACATTTTGAAAATTTTCTGAATTAGTTGTCAACATTGAAAAATCGTGAAATTTCACATAAATTTCAACTCTAAGCTTGAAAATTGGAAATATCTAAGGAAAAAAGTGAGACCATATTCCCACATAGAAACAATAACCTGAAGCTGAAGAGAGCAGTTGACAGTTTTAAACAAGGAAGGAGCCTGGCTGGTCTCTGCAGACTTTTGAAAGTATGACCTTATAGCACCAACTTTTGCTTTTTCTTTTTAGACTCAGAGTCCATCAGTCACCTCCTAGCCTCCCTACCCATCCAGACCCCCAAAGGCAAGTGGTTTTGTTTTTGAACCATGTTTTCTCATCATACAAAAATTTAGCCAGGCACCAGGCACAGAGTTGGAGAAACAAAGTTGAAATGAATGCTTTCTCTGCACTCTCTTTATCCTTGTCAGCCTCATCTCCAGTCACACTGGCATTCTCTCAATTCCATGAGCCACACATGCTTTCTCCATCACCAGGCCCGGAACAAACACCACATGCTGTTCTTTCTGCCCACAAAGCTAAGCTCAAACTCCCTTCTAATCATCCTTCACATATAAAATGACATTTCTCAGAGAGACCTTCCCAGATTCCCCTTAGTAGCTTAAAATGTTTCCCTTTCACACAGAGCTCTTTCCCTTTCTTCCTTGCAGTGAACAGATCTGTACTTTCTTCATGTCTATCTCTTGTTCACCACTTTCCAGCATCTAGCCAAGCTAATCAAGCACTTTCGTAAAACTTTCCGTAAGTCTCCTAAGCACGTGTTCACCCAATATGCCCACCCTGCCAGCTCCCCCTCGCCCGCCAGTTCACTTCCTCCATGCTGCTTCCAGAGTAGAAAAAGAGAGGCTACTGAAAACCTCCTTAAACTTCAAATGGTTTTAGGCAGGAGGTAACAGGCTCAAATTCGCTATTTTAAAAGACTATGCTGACTACAGGATGTGAAATAAAAGAGAAAGGAGTGGATGCGGGAGTCCAGTTAGATTATTTCAGTATACCACTATTCCAGTTCTGGGAGAACTTGAATTCTATACGAATAACTGTGGTTTTTTCAGTTACCATGTTTCATGGTACTTTCCACACCTTCATACATAAAGCGGCATATCACCGCCAAAGCTGTGGACCAGCTGCCCTCCAAGAACTCGGTTCAGTAATGTTCTCTACTCCCCAGTGACAGACCCCGAGGCCCTAAATTCCCTCGGACTGTGCCAGCTGAGTCCTGGGGCCACACTCGGCGCATCCAAGCCCATCCTACCCGAGGCTGTACACTGGCCGCTCCGGGGTCAATGGTTCTTTGGAGGACCAAATCAAGAGAGTAGCTAAAGGGAGGCGGGTAGCTAAGGAGAAAGGAGGGAGAAGAGGGAGAAACCCTGAAATGCGACGCCGGACCAGGGAATCGAGAACAAGGAACAGGGAACAAGGTTTACCAAAACGAATCCTCGAACACTCCCACTACAGCTTCCCTCAGCGCCTCAACTACCGGCTTAAACGAGCCACGCCACTTGTGCGACAAGGAAAACGCCTTAATCCTGCGACCAGCTTTGGAACCCACCCACCACTTTTTAACCATGCCGGCCAATCAGCACAGTGAGGCCCTCAGTCAAGACAGTCACACCCCAACTAGCCAATGAAATTGAAGGTTCTCCCTTACATACCCAGCTCTGGTTGGCCTACCATCCCGGAACAGGCGTTAACTCCAGGCTGTAGCAAGATGGCGTCCTTGGATCGAGTGAAGGTACTGGTATTGGGAGACTCAGGTGAGTGGTTTAATCCACCTCTGGGGCTCCCGACACTTTTGAGTTATCCGTTAACCCTCTCCCTTCACTATTCTTCCGCTCCTGCAACGATCCGGCTCCTGCCATGGCTGAAAGCCCTCTCAAGGTCTAAAAACTACACTTCCCAGAGGACTTTGCTCTATTTGACGAAGGTGGCGTTGCGCGGGTGGGGGGCGCCGAGCCCCGGCCTTTCTCCGCCTTCGCAGCTTTCCGAGTTGGTCTCCTTGGCGACTGCGGCCTAGGGTTGTATAGTCAGTTCCTTTGTTTTATAAAAGATATGCAGACATTGTTGGATTGGGAGCTGTGAAGTTGGGATCGTGCCTTCAAGAGATTGTGTTCATTACGGAATTCAAACATGCAGTAATGACACTGTTCCAAATGCTTTACATATATCAATTCATTTAGCTTGATAGCAGCCCTATTAACCCCATTTTACAGTTGAGAAAAGTGAAGAGGAGAGAGGTAAATGACAGAACCTGCCCACGTATTTAGACACTAAGGCATATTATGAAATTAAATATTGGGTGGTAGCCCTGTTTTACTCTCAGCTGGGTTTCTTGATTTCTTAGTTCTCTGTAATCCTAATTAAAAACCTATTATGTGCTAGGTTGTAAGAAATAGAGCAATTAAGATAAAGCCGTATTATGAAACAGCTGGGATTTAATGCTGAGCTCAATTTAATCCTAGTGTTAAAATTCTTTTGACGCCTTGAACTTTTGAGAACTAAAATTGAAGTCTGCATTTCCCCCTCCCACCTCTCTACCCTCCTCTTTTTTATCATAACTTCCACTTCTGTGCTCTTTAAGAACTTGGAATAAATGCTAACCTTGCATTTCGTAGATGTGCTTTTCTGGAGTTAACCTATGAATGTGTGTTGTGAGCAAAGACATTGTACCAGATGCCTGGAGGTGGAGAGAATATACCCCAAACAGCTTGACAACTAGCCTTTCAGACTGTGTACAATTGTGGTGGAGAGGAGGAGGTTAAGAACGTTTCCACATTGCCTGAAGATTATTTGCATTGCAAAATATTTTATAGATAGCATTATTTAATATTCCCTAAAGAAAGTTGCATTATGAAATTCTGTGAATATAATCCAGTTTGTCAACTTCAGTTCTTTAGCTTGAAGTGGTGCTGAAATTAATTTAATCAAGTCACTCAGTTTTATATAAATGAATAAAGTAATGATGGTCTAAATGGACTTGGCAAGAGTATCACCAAGTAGAATTTGAGACTGGAATTCAGAGCTAACATGGTTCATGATACCTGAAGTAGGTGTTCTCTCTCATTTTTAATTCACTTTTCTATTGCATCTAACAAGCCCTTGATGTTACATATTGTTGGAACTAGTCGATTTTTTCTTTTTCACAAAAATTAAGTATCTGCTACACAGCAGGCACTACAGTAAGTGCTGAGGCTATAACTGTGTAATCGATGCGTTACATAACAGGGTTGAATTAGCTGCTGCATTAAATGTGGAAAAGTGATCAGGCAATTAGTAAGCTTTTCTTTTTCCTTATAGTTTAGTTGTAAAACAGAAGACATAGTCATGCCCACTTGGTTGATCTTGTCATACATTCACGGATGTTAGGCTATGTGTGCAGACGCTTAACGACTGAGCCACCCAGGCGCCCCAGTACCTCCCAAAATTCTTAAAGAAATGAATAGTTTGCCAATTTTCCTGGCACTTCCTGTTCTTACTGTTGACAAGTCTATCCACTGTTAGTCAATTCTTTTTTTTTAAGATTTTATTTATTTATTTGACAGAGAGAGCGAACACAAGCAGGGGAAGTGGGAGAAGCAGGCTTCCCACTGAGCAGGGAGCCCGATGCGGGGCTCGATGCGGGGTTTAATTGTCTGTATTGAAAAAAATAAAAAGAATTAAAGGGAAACCTGGGAAAATACTGGATTCAATTACATCAGACAGCTAATATAAAGAGAGGTTATGTAAATTGATAACACTAAAAGCCATTAGATAAATGGGCAGAGAACATCAACAAATAATTCATAAGAAAGGAAAGACAACTGATTAACAAAGGTAATTGTAATGTAGATCTTTACCAGAAGGTAAAGAAATGTAGACTAAAGCAAGATGTCACTTTTTTTCTTTTATCAAATTAATATAGATGAAAAAGAAACAACATACATACTGTTGAGGTGCAACAGGACGTGCAGGCTTATATGTATGACTGGTAACAGAGTAACCAGATGAAAGTTGTCAACATACATCAAGAACTTGAAATGCTCATTTCCTTTTATATACTAATTTCGCTTCTGGGAAGATATACTAAGGAAATAATTTTAATTTGAAACAAAAATTTGAACAGCCCTCTCTTAGCATAGTGAAAAATTCAAAACATCCTACATACTTAATAATGAGAGGGAATAGTTAAGTAAATTGTTGTCTACTCTCTGAACTACTGTGGAGACATTAAAAATGTTTATGAAGATTCTATAATAACATGGAAAATTTTAGCCTCTAAATAAATACTAATTAAGGCCCTGTTCTGAATACTGGAGATACAAACGATGACTAAACCCAGTTCCAACCCTCAAAAAACTTAGAGTGAATAAAACCTATAAACAAAGAAGTGTAATAATGTGTTTTCAGTGCTTTGTAAAAAAATGTGCAGAGTACAGTGGAGACCGAGAGGATGGTGGATAGTGAGTGTCCTTAGTTCTATCTCTGTGGAATTCAAAAGGACTTTATAACTAGAAAGATCCTGAGTCTTGAAAGATTAATTCACCAGGCCAGTGGGGAAGGGGAAATGACGAGGGAGGATGGGGAGGATATTCCAGACAGAACCAGCTGTACAAGCAAAGGCCTATATTGTATTGTTTTTAAGTACACCATGTACATATTCCTAGTAACAACTTGCTTTTAGAAGAATCCTGCTTGTGATATTAAATGAACTTACATATTGCTCAAAGGGCTCTTCAGGGAATTCTTCCTTTTTTTAAAAATTCTTTCCAGATTGTCTCTAAATACAACTTTTTATAATAAATAAACGTAACTGATAGATTCATACACAGTAATGCACACAAAGAGATGGTCTAAATTTTTGATATAACTAGTGTTGCATGAAGATTCACCAACTATGCTTGTTATAATGACATCCCAAAATGCTGTCAATTGAATGAGTGATTCTACATACAGGTAGACAGAAGGACTCATCCTCTTTCCTCTTCCTACAGATGTCCTAATGCTAGTTCTGGCATTAATAACTACATTACCTGAACCCAAGAGATCTATATGAAAATAAAGTGCTGCCTTAGAAGAGGGAATAGAGTATTTCTCTTTTTCCAAAGGGTATGGTGTGACCACCCTTTAAACAACTATACTTTACATATCATTATTACTGGCATATCTCAGACTTTCGTCATGATAAATATTTCAGCATATCTCTTATTTGACTAGAGTTCTTATATCTTTTACAGGTGTTGGAAAATCTTCACTGGTTCATCTTCTGTGTCAAAATCAAGTCCTGGGAAATCCGTCATGGACTGTGGGCTGCTCAGTAGATGTCAGAGTATGTGTTTCTGATATTTTAGTTTTTCTGTAGTCATATTAAAGATAAGTCCTTCAAACTACATGATCAAATTATAGTACTGGTAGTTAAAACTAACAATAATAGCTGGGCTTTATTAACCACCTGCTCTGTGCTAGATACTACGCCAATTAATTACCTTACATGTCTTTCCTAACTTAATCTTTTTAAACTGTGAGGTATAACTGCAGAAACTGAGGCATAGAGAAATAAAGTACCTTGATCAAATTGACTCAGTGCAATAAAAGCAAAGTCAGGATTTGATCCTAAATAGTCTTAATCCAGTCTACCACCATACCACCCTGAATGGACCCAATCTTGTCTAAATAGTCTGAATCCAAGGGATTCAGTTTTAATTACTGTGCTATGTATCTAGAGTTCACTTAACACGCTCCATAAATAATTCTATCTAATCCTTTTGCACTAAGAGAGACACCTTTTGGCTAGAAATATATGTAAAGGCAAAAGCTTCTGGAGCCTTAGGTGTAGGTAGGTCATCTATTCCACCTCACATTTAGGAAACTCAGGTGCAGTTTCCACCAAATTAACTGTCTTCCCAGATACTGTTGGTCTTTGCTAATCTCAGCTAGTCCTATCCAAATGTCTCTTCTGGTAGCATACATGTCTCCATTGAGTTAAGAAATAAATAGGAAAGGAATGGTAATTAGCTCAAATGACAATTATTTTCTTTTAGTTCTTTGAAGCTATTGTTCCACAGACTATGACTTACATTGCTGCTGACTGGAAGTCTTTTGTCAGCCTAATTATTATTCCTTTGAAGGTAATTTCTTCTCTCTGGTTGCTTTTAAAAGATTTTTTTTTTTTTTTTGATGTTCTGTAGTTTTACTAAAACATGTCTAGGTATGGGTTCATTTTTAGTCATGCTATCAGAAGGTTGTGCCTCTCACAACTGTCATCATTTTTCAAAATTTTTAGCCATTATCTACTGTCTTCCTTCATTCCATCTCCTCCTTTTGCACTTCTGTTAGATTTTTGTCCTCTATATCTTTTAATTGTAATTCCATGTGTTCTGTTCTTTATTTCTCCTTTGTGTATTCTGGATCACGTACTCATATCTCCCTTCCAGTTAATTAAGAATCTCTTCAACTATGTCTAATCTGCTTTTTAATATATCCACTAAGTTTTTCATCTTTGTAACTGTAATTTTTTATTTCTAGATACTCCTTTTGGTTCTTTTTCAAATGTCAAGATTTTTCACGATATCCTAATCTTTCATTATGGCTTTACTTTTTATTTTAATTATTTTCAACATACTATTTTATGGTTTCTTTTGTATTGTTTTTTTTTTTTCTGAGTGCGTGGTAGAAATTCTAACTTGCTGTGTATGCTGACTATGCTTCATGGAAATGTATCTCTTTGTATGGTTTATAATTCTTTGAAGATGATCACATCTTCAGCAGGATTTTTTTCCCTCTTCTCTGTGGAAGTTCTATATGCTGTGTCATGAAAGTACGGTAACTTTTCATTTCTGTTGCTTCCAGAGCCCTAGGGATTTCAATGGTGCTTGAAATTTCAAAGCTAGGAGTTTCTATGCCATCTAGATAATGTATATTCTCTAAATATTTGATTACAGTACAGGCCTGTGGTTTCCATTTTTTTGTGGACCCTTTATCCTGTACCAGCCCTACCTAGGGTCCCTGGCAGAAAGTTTTTCCTGCTTTCCTGAGCCAGTGGATAGTTTTTCCTACTCTCTTTCACTGACTGGGCCGGATTTCATGAAGGGAACTATCGTCTGGTCTTTGTCACTTACCTATGTATATTCTTTTTTTTTTTTTTTTTAAGATTTTATTTATTTATTTGAGAGAGAGAGACTGAGAGAGAGAGAGCATGAAAGGGGGGAGGGTCGGAGGGAGAAGCAGACTCCCCGCCGAGCAGGGAGCCCGATGCGGGACTCGATCCAGGGACTCCAGGATCATGACCTGAGCCGAAGGCAGTCGCTTAACCAACTGAGCCACCCACGCGCCCCCCCCCCTTTTTTTTTTAAGATTTTATTTATTTGTTTGAGAGAGAGAGAATGAGAGAGAGCACATGAGAGGAGGGAGGGTCAGAGGGAGAAGCAGACTCCCTGCCGAGCAGGGAGCCCTATGCGGGACTCGATCCAGGGACTCCTGGATCATGACCTGAGCCGAAGGCAGTCGCTTAACCAACTGAGCCATCCAGGCGCCCTCACCTATGTATATTCTTGTCTTAAAAGCCAGAAAACAGATCTCTATTCCTGGATGGGCACTTAAACTCCAGACACTGGCCCCTGAAGCTATCTCTGAATCTGGGTCAGTTCCCACTTCTCACTCTGATTTTAAGTTCATTTCTAGCATCTGAGGATTTCCCTTTCTTTCTCTTGAGCTTTTCCTCTTTATTTTTTAAAAACATTTTTATGTCATTTCTGTGAACTTGAAGTCAGAATGTCTGGGAATGTCTGTGTCATTTCGGCCTGCCATGTTCCCAAATTCTTAGCTGTAGAAGAAAACAAATACTAGATAATAAGTTCATTTGGCAACTTGTCAATAGCAAGTTCTGGACAAAATTTCCTTATGGATTTTCCTAAATCCCTTTCAGTGAGAGAGCATAACATATTGAAAAGAAGAGAGACATGAAAAGACATTTCTCCAAAGAAGACATACAAATGGCCAACAGACACTTGAAAAATGCTCAACATTACTTGGCATCAGGGAAATCCAAATCAAAACCACAATGAGATACCACCTCACACCAGTCAGAATGGCTATAATTAGCAAGTCAGGAAATGACAGATGTTGGCGAGGATGCGGAGAAAGGGGAACCCTCCTACACTGTTGGTGGGAATGCAAGCTGGTGCAGCCACTCTGGAAAACAGTATGGAGGTTCCTCAAGAAGTTGAAAATAGAGCTACCCTACAACCCAGCAATTGTACTACTAGGTATTTATCCAAAGGATACAAACATAGTGATTTGAAGGGGCACATGCACCCCAATGTTTATAGCAGCAGTGTCCACAATACCCAAAATATGGAAAGAGCCCAGATGTCCATCGACACATGAATGGATAAAGAAGATATGGTGTGTACACACACACACACACACACACACACACACTGGAATACTACTCAGTCACCAAAAAGAATGAAATCTTGCCATTTGCTATGACATGAAAGGAACTAGAGAGTATCATGCTAAGTGAAATAAGTCAGTCAAAAAGACAAGTGCCATATGATTTCACTCATATGTGGAACTTAAGAAACAACAGATGAACATAGGGGAAGGGAAGGAAAAATAAAATAAGATGAAAATAGAGAGGGAGGCAAACCATAAAAGACTCTTAACTCTAGGAAACAAACGGAGGGTTGCTGAAGGTAGGTGGGTGGGGAGAAGGGGAAATTGTGTGATGGGCATTAGGGAGGGCACTTGATATAATGAGCACTAGGTGTTATATGCAATGGCTGAATCACTAAATTCTACCCCAGTAACTAATAATACAGTATATGGTAACTAAATTGAATTTAAATAAAGAATTTTAAAAAAAGAAACTTAAACTCCCACTTCCTGGGTCAGTTCCCATATTGCCTTTTGCTTCCTCAAGCATGACCTTAGACTAATCAGTTTACTTCTCTGAGCCTTAGTATATCTTCTGCAGAATAGAGATAAATAATATCTGCTTTAGCTAGCCTACAGGTTTGTAGGTGATGTTACACTGTGACTGATACACTGTATCTTGTATCTTGGGCTGGTTGGCCTCTGTCTTCCATCTTTGAGAAGAATGAATTTTTTGAATGACAATATAAGTAAAAGGCATTTTTAAATGATAATCTTAAGCAAAGTTGCCATAAACATGTAAATTGTTTTTGACTATTGTTATAATGAAGTGAACAGTTCTTTGCTTTAGCAAGAATGATTAAATCTGATAAAACCATTACCTAAATAGCTTAGAAGAACACTTTCTTCTGTAGCAGCTTTAAATTGCAGTTACAGCTTCTGTGTTATTGAAACTTGAGCGAGGATATCTCCGGAATCCTTGTAGATCCATGAATACACCGTCTTCAAAACTCTTAAAAACAATTGCCCCATTTAGCTCATTTCACATCTAAGAGCCAACTAAGAATAGAGATGATAAAGGTGATAATGTAATTAATTGTTTAATTTCAAGTACTGGGTGAAACTAATGAGCTTAATATATGTACTCAGTAATTACTAACATTTTGGATTTAGTATGCAGTGAAGAGGTGTGCATACTGAATTGAAGGGAAAAGAGAGAAAAGTTTTATTTTGCAGCATTCTTCATTCATTGCTGTCTTCTAATTTTGTTGCCCTAAGTCTAATGGGACTAATATAAATGCATGGTACTCTTAATTATGAAAACAAGACTTACAGAATCTAATCTTTTCACAAATTACAAATAAGGAAATTGACTTGTCATTTCTAGTTCACTTTAATGGGATTTTAACTTTCTAATTTACACATTGCAAACAGTCAATATTTATTGACTTCCTCTTTGGGCAGCATAATAATGTGCAAGCACTGGGGAGAAACTAAAAAAGAAAAGATAATCTCTATCCTCGCTAAGAATGTGAAGTAAGATCTAGTAGGTGGGATAAGATATGAATGATTTTAGAAATAATAATACGAATGATGGCTAATATTTCTTAGTGCTTACTTTGGCTAGGCACCCATTTTACATACTAATTCATGTAAGTCCCACAACAACCCTTCAAGGGCGGTACTATTATTTCCCCTATTTGAAACATGAAGAAGTGGAGGTACGGAGGTGTTAAATGTCTTGTTCAAGGTCACATTTCAAGTAAGTTATAGGGTTGGGATTCAAACCCAAGCAATCTGGTTCAAGAGCCTGTGCTCTTTTTTTTTTTTTTTTTTTTTTTTTATGTTATGTTACTCACCATACATTACATCATTAGTTTTTGGTGTAGTGTTCCATGATTCATTGTTTGCGTATAACACCCAGTGCTCCATGCAGAACCTGCCCTCCTTAATACCCATCACCAGGCTAACCCATCCCCCCACCCCCCTCCCCTCTAGAACAGCACTGCTCTGTACTGCCTCTTGTTCCAGAATATATTAAGAAAAAAGTATTCCACTGCTGTTACATACAGTAACCACTAGATTGATGTGGCAATTTAAATTTAAATTAACTGAAATGAAAAATTTAGTTCCTCAGTTGAACTAACCACATTTGAATGCCCAACATCACATGTTGCCAGTGGTTACCATACTGGATATTTCTATCATTACAGAAGGTCATGAGACAGCACTGATAGAGAATGTAAGTGTTAACAGCAGCTCAAGAGAAAAAGTGAGGTGCTTATAAAGAATGGAAAATTATACTGGGTGTTAATGACTGAATGGACTATTCCTCAAGAACGGGGATATATGTATATAATAGGTAAAGGAGAAGTGAATGATAATAAATTTAGTTCTGGACATGATGAAGGGAGAGATCTGTGAGCTATCCAACTGAAACTGTCAGAAGGCATTCAGAGATGAGGTGGGGAAGCTCAAGAGAGAATTCTGAGTTGGAATCATCTGATGGAAATAATCCCAGACCATGAGAGTTGATGAGTTTTTTCACAAAGCAAATTTAGAAAGAGAAGAGCCAAGGGAAAACCTTGGGGTATATTTGGAGAGTTGCAGATGAGAAGAGAGGTCAGAGAAGCATTGATCAAAGAGGTAAGAGGATAGCCAAGATGATGAAATACCAGAAGAGTAAAGGGAGATGAGAATTTCATGAAAGAAGGATTGAGTTTTGATAATGAAATGCTGTAGACATATAAGGACTGAGAGAGAAAAAAAAATTGGTGGTAATGAAGTCATTGCTGACCTTTGAAAGTGTGATGGAATGTTAGTGGCAGAAACCAAATGATGTGAGTAGGCAGAGAGGAAATAGAGACAGATTTAAATCAATCTTGCACAAAGTTTAAAGTTTAAATAAAGGAGTGAATGGGTACAGAATACAAGAGAAAAGTGACTTTAAAAAAAAATAGGGGACATGAGTTTGGCTAAAGGCAAAATCAGCTTACTGGAAAGGAAAAGGCAATTAGCAGTAACCTTTATATTATTCATTCATTCATTTGTTCGTTTAGTACATATATTGCCTACCCACTAGGAATCAGGAATTGGAAGTATAGCAGCAAATTAGACGAGTTCAATTCCTACTCCCCTAGTACACTCTCCTAGTTGCTCTTTTCTATCTTTGTCTCTTTTCTCCCAACTTTCTCCTAAGACCTCCTGCCTTCCTGCCTCTCTTGAGTAACTCTGCAGGCATACATACTAAACCACACTATTAGCATCGACAGCATCCAGTGTTCTTTCTTGATGTGTATCATTTTCTTTTTTTTTTTTTTTTTTAAGATTTTATTTATTTATTTGACAGAGACAGAGACAGCGAGAGCGGGAACACAAGCAGGGGGAGTGGGAGAGGGAGAAGCAGGCTTCCCGCTGAGCAGGGAGCCCAATGTAGGGCTCGATCCCAGGACTCTGGGATCATGACCTGAGCCGAAGGCAGCCGCGTAACGACTGAGCCACCCAGGCGCCCCTGATGTGTATCATTTTCTTTACTAAATTTCTTTCTGCTTTTTATTTACTTACTTTGGGGAGGTGTACAGTATATTTTACTGATGGTACATGACCCTTCTTTAGGGGGTGTGGGATGGAAACTGTAGAGGTCAGGAGATTCTCAGTGTTTTGGGGGATGAGGTGGGGCAAGGACTCCTCATCAGCTGAGGCCCTCTCTCTTCCTATTGCTGTCACTGGCACTGGTTGTCCAGGGAGCTCTTATTCCTTGGAGGTCATGGGGACCATATGGTCCACCACCCCATTGCCATTGCCAAATTCATTGTCATACCAGGAAATGAGCTTGCCAAAGTGGTCATAGAGGGCAATGCCAGCCCCAGCAGTGACATGTAGTATGAAAGGTGTTAAGGATCACTCTTAAGTTTTTGGCCCTTTAAGTAACTGGAAGGATGGAATTGCCTTTTACTAGGAGAAAAACAGGCTTAAGGGGAAGATTGGGAAATTATTTTCAGGTATGTTAACTTTTAGATGCCTATTAGACATCCAAATTGTAGTCTGGTGGATATGGTAGCCTGAAGTTCAAGGGACTAGTCCAGTTTGGATATAAATTTGGAATTCATCAACATAATGATGACATTTAAAATCATAAGATTGGATGAAGTTGTCAAGAGAGCCAGCATTAATAGAGAAGAAAAGAGATCCAAGAACTAAACCTTGGGACACTAACAATTAGAGGTCAGAGAAGTAAAGACAACCCAAATGGAGACTGAAAAGGATTAGCCAGTGAAATGGGAAGAAAACCAGGAGAGTGTGATAACCTGGAAGCTAAGTGAAAAAATTACTGCAGTGCAGAGAAGTAGTTAGCTGTATCAGATGGGAGAGGAAGATGAAAACTGCTCATTGATCACTGGATTTAGCAATGTGGAAGCCATTGGTGACCTTGATAAGGAATATTTCGGTAGATGATTGGGGCACAAATGGGATAGCAGTGAGTTCAAAAGAGAATGTAAGGAAAAGAATGAGAAACTATGGAGAATAGACAACTCTCTAGAGGGCTTTTGCTGTAAAAAGGAATAGAGAAGTGGTATAGGTAGAAGAGGACATGAGGTCAAGAAAAGGTTATTTTAAAATGGGAAAAATTATAGCATGTTTGTATGCTGGGGAAGTAATTCAACAGAGTCAGAAAATTTGATGATAAAAGGGAGAATTGATAGAACTACACCTTTGATAAGAAAAAGGAGATGGGATTCATGTATAAGAAGGGAGTTTAGCCATGGGGACACAGTTTATCTGTAATGGCTGAAGGGAAAGCAGATTATATGGGCACGGATGCAGGGAGGTGGATAGATAGATGAAGAGCAGGTTGTAGAAATTCTCTTCTGATTGCTTTTGTCTCAGGAAGCAAGGGTCTTAGCTGTTCTTAAGGGTAGGGAAGAGATACTAGAAATTTGAAAAAGAAAATATGAAATTGTTATCTAGAAGAGGAAAAGGACTATGAAATTGATTAAAGGACAGCTCCAAAGGTAGACTTGAATTTAAAATGAATCTAGTCAGCTTGAATGTGTATTTTTCTGAGCTTCTCATCCAGCTAGCTGGGTTACAGACATGGAATTGGGAGAAAGGTGGATATAGTCAAGGTTGGAATTTTGTCAGTTAAATACAGTGTGAGAGGGGCAAAGGAGGGACTAAAATGATGAATCATGGAATTTATACTTAGGAAGGAAGTGAGGATTTAGAAGTGGAAGGGGATCTGTAAATTATGATTTTTTTGAAGATTATTATTATTATGGAATATATGTGTATATATAGGAGGATTATTACGAGAGTTGGGAGTATTGGAGGGAGGAAGCTTGAAAGACAGAAGGCGATCAGAGTCAGAGGTGGTATGGGAATGATATGAGTCATGCAGATATGGAATGTCCAGTGCTCTGAACTAGAATGAGGGTGCTATCAGTGTTCTTAGTGGCTATAATAATTATTTTGATGGATTGATTTGTTAGGTCCATGACTACAAAGAAGGAACCCCAGAAGAGAAGACCTACTATATAGAATTATGGGATGTTGGAGGCTCTGTGGGCAGTGCCAGCAGTGTGAAAAGCACAAGAGCAGTGTTCTACAACTCTGTAAATGGTAAAGCATTTTTTATTTCTACCATATATTAATGGCCTAGGAGTATAGATAATCTGATATAGAATGCTGTGGGATGCTAGATACGTCTTATTTTAGGAAAGATCTAATATACTCACAACTCTTAATTTAAATCTGCATATCACATTTGAATTATGTGTTTCTAGATTCTAACCATGTTATTCAGATCATTAAATAGTTTCTGTGTTTAAGTGTTTTTTGTTGATATTTTTGTCATAAACTAAATAAATAAAATTTTATTTTGGGTACTTGACATGAAATCTGGAACTTTTCAAAACATTGTCCGCTGGGAGTGCCATTTCTCTAGTCAGTTGAGTACGTCCAATAGAAGGAACCATTAGGAGTCCCATAGTCTGAACCAGATGTCACAGAAATACAGGATTCTTTTATCTGCCCCTTAGAGAGAATCCTATGTAATTATAAAGAGCTGCCTAAGAGTGTTATTAGGGATCCAGATAGTCAAATACTTGGAGCAGACTTCTAGATGGAGATGTGTAATAGAGGACATAATTGGAATTCATAGGGTGCCTGCTGTGTCAAAGGACTAAACCACTCACACCTGTAGTTTGCCTCTAGAGGTTTTTTTTGTCTTCTGCCTGTTTTTTAGTTCATTTTTTAAATGCTTTTTTTTACTGTGTAATATAATTTCCCCTTGTCTCTGATTGATGTCCAGGAGTGGCACCTCACCCTTTTCCTTCTGGTAGATGCTTAGCTCTTAATTGCACCTCATTTATACTATGCTTAGATCACACTCAGTATCAGGTAAACATTGCAATTATTCAGTACCTTCTTCATTCCTTATATTCCTCTTTCAGTATCGTATCTTCCCATATCATAAGGTGTTGTGGATACTACAAAATGAAGTAGAGAAGGTACTTGCCATTTGATACATAATATAAAATACAGGATGAGTTACATTAGTTCAGACCTGTGTCCCATTTAGCTCAGAATTCTATCTGAAAGTGTCACAGTCTATTTGAAGAACCAAAACATTCATAAGTGAAACAAAACACAATTATAAGATGGTGACACTAATATATGGCATTGTCATGCAAGAAAGTTACATGATAAGTGGCATATATTAATAGAATGTATATAAATGAGAAAAATAGTAAGACTGGTATAGTGTTAGGTGACTTCTTAGAGAATAGGAAAGAAAGAAATGAAGCCTGGTTTAGATCTAGAATCAAGTGATAAACTTGGATTATATCAGTCAAATGACTTGTCAAAGTTGATATCAATCTGATCTGACAGAGAAGTTTGGATATATAACACTTTTGCCTTTTAGGTCTTTTTGAGAAAGAGTTCAGATAAAAATTATAAATAAATAATAAACTTAGCACTGAAGGTTCTTTACTCCATCTACCATCCTTAGTTTCCTAGGAAATGGAGCGTAAGGATCACTCCACTCCAATGTGCAGCCTTTATTCTTAGCAGTAACTTTCTTCCCTCAATACCCTACCTTCCTCCCACTGTGATGAGTGAGGCTGGCAATCCCTAAAGGAAACCTGTGAAGTAAACTACCTCTTTCTAAGGTCAGAACATATTCTGATCAACTATCACACTGACTTCTTTCCTTTGGGCCCCACTATGGCCCTACCAGCCCATAGTCTACAAAGCAAAAACTCTCAGCCCAAATGAAAGTGGGAAAATAAGGTGCTCAGATGCCCTTAAAAGCTCAAAACCCTTAAATAGAGATCCTCAAAAAATAAACTCCTCCCTGTCCAGCTAATAGCTCATCTAGGCCTTTGTAATCCTTTAATCTCCCACCCAAAAATCTCACCCATAGTTTTTTGATATTTATTTCTGGGAACTAAGGGAGAGGAGAAAATATCTACCACTCTTTGGCCTTAAAGTGACTTAATTACTGCTTTCCCCCAATCTTTTACTGTCAGATTACCTGAGTTCAAATTCTGACTACCTCACTTACCATGTGACTTCTGGCAAGTAACTCAACCTCTGTGAGCCTTAGTTTCCACATATGTAAAATGAAGATGCTAATTCTTTCTCATAAGACTGTTCTGAAAAGCAAATTAGATAACACATGTAAGGCACAATGTATAGCACGTAAGTGCTGAACAGATGTTAGCTATATTCTTTAATGGTAACTCTTTATTCCTTTTTTAAACCTGTCCTGTATCTTGCGTCCTTAATGCCTAATAGAAGCCCTTATTGAGGAAGGTAGAGGGAGTACAGTTGAATATGGGGCCAGTGTCAGATCTCTGTTTCTCTGTTCCAGATGCCAGGGGGGATACAGATCTGAGCTAGCTAGAACAAGACAACTATAACTTGCACAAGCAGCTTACTTGCACAAATGTCTGTAAAAACCAGAGGAACCAAGTAATTCTAACTCTTCTGCCCTTCTTTTTCAAATTAACATATCTCACATCTTGAAGATAGAAGAATCATCAGTTTCACATCCTCTCTTCACAGTAGAATCTAGGTAACATAGGAAAGGGTTGGGGGTTTGAAAATCTGTAGTCTTTTGACCACAAGATAATACTCTAAATTCTACTAGGCATTAAAGCTTTTCCTCTTTTGTCTATAATATTGTAATAGTTATCTTCTTTGCCTGTCTGCTACCTTATTTGATTCTATTTAATTGTATTTCTGAGCTTCATTACATTTTGTTATTTTTCTCAATCTCTCAAAAGTCCATCTATTTTCTACTATTCATACTTTTTGACTATCTTTTCCTACCCTCTTCTAGTGACATATTACTTTTGCTTTATTAACTAAGGTATTGAGCTTTTTATAGCTAGCCATTAATTCAAATAACTAAAAGATGAGACTTTTGAGTTGATTAGGCTCAGGTGATTTATAGGAAAACATTTTGTCAGCTGAAAAGTAGCAATTATATCAAATTAAATCAATATCTTTTTAGTAAATTTTTATGATTTAATATTTTATTGAGTATAAGTAACAGTGTATGTCTGATAGCTATGACAGTACTATGCACAGTGGAGAAACAATTAACTTTTATAGGAATATAATTTCTTATATACTTGAAGTACTTTTGATTCCTTTTATTGATGAGGTAGTTTAGTTAGGACCAGGCAGAGCAGGCACTCATTAAGTGTTGAATGAAGGAAAAAAAGTCTAAAAGCTAATGACATTTTGTCAGCCCTTGTAGAATTAAAAAGAGTTATATAACTGACAAAGAAAATTTTTTAATTCATTATTTGTAGGAATTTATAGAGGAAATTTTAAATTGATTGTGTGAGTTTGTTACTCATACTGAAATGTTAAGTTTATTCAGCAACCTAACGCTTGTACTCACTAAGCTTCCCTTGGGCAGTGTGAACTGAAGAGGAATTGTTGCAGTACTGACATTATTTTCTTTGATTGTTTTAGGTATTATTTTAGTACATGACTTAACAAATAAGAAGTCATCCCAAAACTTGTATCGTTGGTCATTGGAAGCTCTCAACAGGGATTTGGTGCCAACTGGAGTATTGGTAACAAATGGGTAAGCCCAGATTTCTTCACTTGCAGTGTGACATGGTACATCAATCATAAGATTATACCCTCAAGGGGCGCCTGGATGGCTCAGATAGTTAAGCGTCTGCCTTCGGCTCGGGTCATGATCCCGGGGTCCTGGGATCAAGCCCCACATCAGGCTCCTGGCTCAGCGGGGAGCCTGCTTCTCCCTCTCCCTCTGCCTCCCCCCCTGCTCATGCTCTCTCTCTCTGTATCTCTGTGTCTCAAATGAATAAATAAAATCTTAAAAAAAAAAAAAAGATTATACCCTCCAGAATAACACTTTGTAAGATGTTTGATTTGCAAATTTTTTCTCCCAGTCTGTAGATCGTCTTTTCATTCTCTTAACAGTTGTCTCTCAAGCATTAGTTTTTTGTCGTGATGCAGTCTGATTTCTTAATTTTTTCCTTTGTATTATTGTGCTTTTGGTATCATGTCTGACAGCTCTGCCTAATCTCAGATCATACAGGTTTTCTCCTGTGTTTCTTTTAGAAATGTTATTGTTGAAGGTTTACTTTTAGATCTGTGACCTGTTTCGAGTTAATGTGTGAGGCTTTGATTGAGGTTGACTTTCATATATGAATGTCCAATTGTCCCAATACCATTTGTTAAAAAGGTGATCCTTTCTCCATTGAGTTGTTTTTACTCCTTTGCCAAAAATCAGTTGACCATATTTATATGTTTCTGTTTTGAGACTATAATTCTGTACAGTTGATCTGTGTGTCTGTACCTTGACCAATATGACAGTCTTCATTATTATAGCATTATAGTAAGTCTTAAAATAAGGCAGTGTGGTTCCTTCCTTTTTAAAATTGTTTAGCTATTCTGGTTCATTTGCTTTTCCATATAAATCTGAAATCAACTTGTCTATATTGACAAAAAGTCGGCTTGGATTTTGATTGAATTGCTTTAAGTCTATAGATCAAATTGGGGAGAATTTTTGTTGCATTTTCCAATCCATGAACACAGTTGGTCTCTCCATTTATTTTTTAAAGCAAATCCTAAACATTGTATCATTTCATCTATATATATATACACTTCTGTGTTTAACTCTAAATGATAAGGACTTTTTAATATAATCAAAATATAATTGTCATACTTAAAATTTAGCAATAATTCTTTAGTATTAAATATTATTTTAATTCCCCAAATGTCTCATACATGTTGGTTTGTTCAAAATAGTATATAGATAAGGTCTACTCATTATATTTAGTTTATTAAGTTTCTTTTAATCTTACGTTCCTCTTCCTTTTTTTTTTTTTTTTTTCTTTTACTCTCTGGCAGTTTATTTGTGAAAGATGGCTTGCTTGTCCTGTCCAGTTTCTTGTATTCTGGATTTTGCTGACTGTATCCCTGTAATGAGTGTCTGCTTAACTTGTTTCTCTGAATCCTAAATTTTCCCTAAAATGATAGTTAAAATATGAAAAGAATGTCTAAAAGATGCACGGTTTTTGGTGTTTTGTTCTTGCCAAAGTGGTATTGTACATATAATTACAATACCTGGTTGTCTGTCTTTTTGTGATGTTGTTACCAGCTTATCCGTCCATGATAAAATTCACCATCAGTTTTTCATCTATTGGTTTTTTTAAAAAAAGGACTTTGAGATCAAATTTCTAGTTGGATGTAAGAGGAATGAAAAAGTGAATAAAAAGAAAAGCTAAAAAGATAAGAGAACAAATTAAATATATATGGCAACATATATATGTTACATATGTAATACATATATATGTTAATGTGCAACATATATATCTTGTGCCATGTCTGTATGTTGTTATATATATAATACCTATATTTATTAATGTATGAGAGATTATACAAGACTACAAGTGACAGGGATATATATCTATCAAAGATGATGGTTGATAAAATATATACAAAAATTTGTATGTGAGCCAGAGTTAGTGAGTATAGGAAAAGGAAATATTCCTAAAGGAGGACAGTCTCAAAACTTTATTCTCTAATAAAGCAAGTTTCAACTTTAGACAACGTCTCCTAAATTAGTGTTGATATTGGTAAACAGAATCAAAGGCCTTGAACTCAAGCTATCATTGGCTTTGATGCAATAAATAGAATGATAATATTTTTAAGAAATGCAGATTTAAAAAAAAAAGAAATGGGGTGTTACATAGTTCAAAACACCTGTGTTCCAATGCCAAACAATAACTGAGGCTCTGTAAGATTATTGTGAAGGGCAAAAAGATTTGGTAATTTTGCACACACCCACTTATACACCCCCCAGTTTAGATTATTCAAAGAGAAAGAAAAATGTCAAAGGAGGAAGAAAAGCTGTGCTCAACTGGGTTGTATTGATTGTATTGTGCAATACTGATTTACTGTCATAAGGTGTTTGCAGCGGGATTTTGCTGACTATTGTAAATTGCGCTTATAACATGTCAGAAATCCAAATCTGTTTTATTTCTCATATCTGAATAGAATTTAAATTAATTGATCAACATTGAGCTGTATATTCCTTTCAGTAATAGAAGGAACACCACTCTGTCCTTCGGGTAAAAATAGGGGGTGGGGATAAAGGATTGTAATAGCCAGTGGCCCAAGGCCCTTAACCCTAAGTGATTCATATCACCTGTCCTCTGTCTCCCATGTCTCTTGTGTCAGGACAAACAATTATTTGGCACTTAATTCTTTCCTTTTACTATTCTTTTTGCATTTCAGCTGCTGCTTTTCCTTTCCATTTGTTGAATCCACCTTTCCCCAGACTATAGCATCATCTATGGTTGATTTTTCTGGCCTTCAGCCTCCTTGTTCTTAATTTCCTGAAATGATCTATTTTTCTTTACTATTCATAGACAGAAATGTGTATGGTAGGTATAGAACTTATGCCTACCCCAGAAGCTTGCCATTTTTTCCTCTGGCAAAAGGTTTGAGTGCCATGCTAGGTTCTTGTGTTTTCGCTCCACTGAGGTTTGAATCCACTCTCTGTATCTACCTAGAAAAATTCCTGAGCTGTTAGCCTCAGAAGACAGAGCTTTGGGAGAAGTCAAGTCAACCTACTTTCAGATACCTGGTGGGCATTCATTTATTCAAGTAGTCTATAGAGACTCATGAAAATAAAATTTGAGTAGTTAGATGAATAGTTGGAACTCTATAGATGGTGAGGATGGGTTGATAAATGAACAAGTAGAAGAAATTGGGACAAAAGTAGGTTTATAGGTGGTGGATGAGCAAGAGTCAGTAAAGTATCAGTAGAATAGTGTAAACCACTTGCATTTATTTATTTTTTTAAATTTTATTTTATTATGTTATGTTAGTCACCATACAACACATCATTAGTTTTTGATGTAGTGATCCACGCTTCGGTGTTGCTGAGCAAGGAGCCTGATGCAGAACTCGATCCCAGGACCCTGGGATTATGACCTGAGCTGAAGGCAGACGCTTAACTGACTGAGCCACCCAGGCGCCCCTTATTCACCTCTTCATTATTATTTATCACAGGGATTATGACCGGGAACAGTTTGCTGATAACCAGATCCCACTGTTGGTAATAGGGACTAAACTGGATCAGATTCATGAAACCAAGCGCCATGAAGTTTTAACTAGAACTGCTTTCCTGGCTGAAGATTTCAATGCAGAAGAAATTAATTTGGTATGTATTTTCACTAATGTATATTTGTGTTATCATTAGGTAAAGGCAAAACCAAAGACTTAAGTCATAAATTCTCATGAAAGATGCTTTATACAAAAATCAGGCATTTGGGTTCTGGTCCAAAATGTAGTGAATATTAGAATCAACATAGACTGTCAGATGGGGACAGTCAGTTCAACTTCCTTGTATGCTGGTCTGTTGGAATGTTCAAACTTTGTTCTATGAATACTATAAATCATGGCTCTTGAAAAGATTTTTTAAGATCATACCAAAATCGGGACGCCTGGGTGGCTCAGTTGGTTAAGCGACTGCCTTCAGCTCGGGTCATGATCCTGGAGTCCTGGGATCGAGTCCCGCATCGGGCTCCCTGCTCAGCAGGGAGTCTGCTTCTCCCTCTGACCCTCCCCCCTCTCATGTGCTCTCTCTCATTCTCTCTCTCTCTCAAATAAATAAATAAAATCTTAAAAAAAAAAAGATCATACCAAAATCAGAATAAATTAAGGTGACAAAGAAGGGTCACTGACACCTTGAGTATTCTTGCTTTAGAAAAGCCTCTCAGCTTCTTCAACTACAGAATTTAACTTAAAGAGCAAACAAATAGATAAGTGAGAAAACTACAAAGTGTAAACTAGGAGTGCTTCATGAGCAGTAGTTGAGACAAACTTGTGTGTATAGAGCATTGAGTTTCTTCCTGACATATGTAGCTCAGTTTGAACCGGACGCTAAAAAGGCTAAGAAAAGTTCTCACGTAAGCCAGATAGTGTTGCCCAGAGAAGGATCCTGGCCAGCAGCTTTAGCCCCAGTTTATATGTCATTGTTCACAAGTAGGATTTCTGCAACACATTCAGTACCCTGGCAGTTCCAGACATATGGTGGTAGTGGTGGTTTAATAATACTAATGACTGTAGTTTACTGAACACTTATTATGTGCCACGCACTGTTCTAGAGCTTTATGTACATTATCTCGGATTTGTCTTCACATCAACACTATAAGGTAGGTACTGTAAGTATTTCCATTTTAAAGATGAAGATTAGAACCAGAGAGAGGTAACTAGGCCATGGTTACACAGGTCAAACCAGGCACTCTGACTCCCAAGCCAGTGCTCTACAATTAAGCCTCTTTTCCACTTAATTATTCTCCAGCTAACATTTAGAATCTTAGAGTTGAAAGAACTCTTAGAAATCATCTAGATCACTAATTACCCAAACCTGACTGCATATTCATGTTATCAATGTAGCTGTGAAACAATCTGAATAAGTGCCCCACGGCTGGAGCTTTTTATTCATAAGGTCTAACAGGAGGACCAAGACTCTATAAATTTAACTAATGACTCAGATAATTCTGATGGCCTTACCCTGTAAATCAACGTTTGTGAACACTGGTTGGTTCAAACCAACCTCTACCCCATAACTGAATCAACTGCTGCTTGCCATTCCATTGTTTTTTACATTCTGCTTTGCAGTGGGGGGGGGGGGGGGGTTACCTTATTTTTCTCACCTGCCACCATGGAACATTCAGTGGAAATGCCCCAGCTAGTTGCACTGGACTGTGGTATTCCAGAGGACTCCTGTTACATAGAGTTTATCATATCAGAAGCAGTGCTGAAGTTACTTTGTTTGAACATTATCTCCAATGGGAAATTACCATTGAATACACTTAATTTGTTCCAGTAATTACTTTCAGTGTATCTTGGAATGTATCTATTTGTAATGCCTGTGGGCTTCTGTGACAATCACCTAGATACGTATTTTTCCTGTTTTCCTTTCAAAGTAGGGCCATCTTTTAATTGTTAACAAGGTATAAAGGTACTCAGGTGGTGGTACTTTGGCACACATGGTTTCCACAGAGTTCACATACAACATACTTTTGGCCTGTTATCAGTGTACAGCTTCAAGAACACAGCAGAAACAAGAGGGTTTTGAGGATGCAGGGGAAGAAAAAATGAGGAGGCAAATTTGATACGAGTTTCAGAAAGATAGCAGTCAGACTCAGCAAGTAAGTATAAAGCCTCAAGTAAAAATGTAATATGACAATATTAGTGCTAGCATCTTTGGTTACTGTACGAAGTTCCTTAAAACTGTAAAAAAAAGTAAGAATCATCATAAATGTATATATCAAAGATAGAATCAAAGTTACCATCTTGTGCCTGAAAAACAGGTTGATTTAAATTATAAATAGGGAGATGATTACTTATTTTTTAAAATCCTGTTAGGCTTATTGTGTCTAGGATAGATTTTTTTCTGTTTACTTCAAAGTGATTATATCGAAGCATCTTCCCTAGTTAATATTCCTTTCTCAAGCTTAGACAAGCTATTTAAAACTATTAATCTTCAATCTTTGCCCTCAGCCATGATCACTGGATGGCTCTTTAAACTCTAAAATTCTCATCCTAAAATCATAAGGTTTCTCTGGCCTGGTCAACCTGTAACTTTGAGCCCTAGAATTCAGTTTGGGGAGGGTCTGCTTGTTTGCCGTTTGATTTAGTTTTTATATTTAGCACTATAGCCCTATTTGTAATCATCTCTGAAGTCTTGACATTGTGATGATTATGTAATCAATATCCATTTTGTAAAACATGTCTAACACGAGTCTACCTCAGGTTTGCCTCTTATGTGCCCCAACTGCTGTATAAATGTGTTCAGACATTATTTCAAGTGTAACAGTTTCCACAATGATGTTTCAGTCTATTTGATCCATACATGGAATTAACTTTTACTATGTTAGGTGCTTTTGTGCCTGAAAATTAGATCTGATAGCATTTTCTTAAAATGAAAAGAGAAGGGAACTAATATTTCAGTACCTGCTGTGTATGTGCCAGACATGCATTGACTTACTTAATTTTCACAAAAATCCTGTGGGATAAGTATTATGTTATCCTCGTATCACAAATGAGTAAGCCCAAATTTAAAGGCATAGTAACCTAATGAATGTCACATAATCTAGAGATGTTGGGACAGATACTCAGATTCAAAGCTTGCTGGCTTCAAAGACCTAATTTTTCTAGTACTCTGTGATTTTTGAAAAGTTTGTTGTAGTCTCTTTTTTGTGTGTGGTTTTGGAAATGTATTCTAGCTTCCAGCCAAAATTAAAAATGTGAGCCTCGAAATGTTATATATGGATAAAATAGGTGATTATTACAAAATTTACCAGAAAAGAATCATGTGGGCTTAGAGATTACAAAACAGACTAAATGCAACAACAGTGATTTCAGTAATTGCCCAAGGGACACAGACCATCTGCAACTGAAAGACAAATACCATCTTTGTAAAGGAGCCTACACGATATCTTCAGAGTTTGGTCTTAGATGGCATTTGAAGTAAAATTCAAAGTGCTCTCTCTTGAGGTGGCAAGTTAATTATTACAAGCAAAAGCAACTTAACATTGAATTTCCAGGAAAAGGATAATAAACCTTTTGAGATCTTTACTGATCATTGTAATTTACTAGTTATCTCATTGTAATGTTCCAGATTGTTTGGTCTCTTCTGGGCCCCATTTTTTTCCTATTTTTCAAAATCCTATTTAATAATAATATATCTATTATTTATTATTATTTAATTGCCATTAAATAATAATAATGATATTTAATAATAAACTTACTCTTTATTGTTTATTATTATCAAAAAATATACCTATGTCATGTATTATCTTTATGGCCTACCAAATGGTGTAGTACTTTGCATTCAATGAGTGAGAAATTTTTGGCAGCTGTTCTGTGTGTTCTTTGCTCCCCTAACTCCGTATTTTCATGATACCTGCTATTTGTATGAACTGCGTAGTACTTAATTAGATGATGCAGGTGGGTAACTAGTACTAAAAAATGAAGTGTTAACAGTTTTTAATGGCTCTGTTTCTGCTTTTAGGGTAAATGTAGGTAGGTCACATGATTAATGTCTTGGTTTTGTTATTAGTGAGATTAGCAATCCTGTCTTCCTTTATGAATTATTTGATGATGAATACATTGGTTCAATGTCCTTTAAAATTCAGTAAATAGTAAAACGTGGCCTTACCTTCCTTTAGCACTTTCCTCTTTGCTTTGTGCGTCATAACTTGAAAATTACTTGAATATTTTATGAGAGTATGATGCCTAACATTTTATTATAGAAATGTGCAACAGGAACAGTAATGACTAACAAAGAGCTTATGTTTCTTAACTTTTAATGGTGCATCTTGTCTTTTATCTTCTAGGATTGCACAAATCCACGGTACTTAGCTGCAGGTTCTTCCAATGCTGTCAAGCTCAGTAGGTTTTTTGATAAGGTAATAGCTTCAATTAAGTTTTTTTAAACTTAATTTATATACTATGAGGGTTTAAATTCTTTGTAGAATGCTTTGTCCTTTTATTCCTTTGTCCTGAACTTCATAGCCTGAATACTTGTTTTGATCTCTCTTATCGGTTGGTATAATTGCTCAAGGCCTGCTGACGTATTTATTTGATCACCAGTGTTCTCTAAGCAAAGGATGAGAGCTACTGGATTTAAATGAGCTACTTTAAAAGACACCTGATTTCCCTCCTTAAAACAAATTATGTTTTCCTGTTTTCCGGCTCTTTTTGTCCTTATTCACATCCCCTCAAGCCCCACGAACCCAGGAGATTATGCTCAGTTGAAGCCCTGAGTTCTTTTTGCTCTCTCAGCTATTATTATTCTCCCCATAAATGTTACCTTTACTTTTAAGGTTATGTCATCTCCTAGATTCCCTGATTTTCCCTACCAGAAAGCGTGCGTTCCAAATATTGACTCTTGCTAGCATCATCTTATGTCCTGAACTGGAATGAAAATGTAGAATGACTCAGCATACTGGGAATTTAGAGCACTGTTTGTCTTTCCTTCACAAGGCCGTATGGCTGCCTCACACATAGTGTTGGCCAAGTTTAAGGTGTTTGCCTAATGTATGACATGACATAGTAAAGTAGAAGAGAATGTATTTCTGCATGTATTATGGAAGAAGATTAATTTCTGTATTACATTTCCTTTTAAGGGAACAAGAAAGACACAGCCCTTCTCATAGCTCTTTTTTATGAATTGTTTTTCTTTTACCATCTAGGGACCTAATATTTGGCCCTTTTGCCCATTACATCATGTTAAGATAAGCCCCACACCCCTCCCTGTTTAATATTAGACCACTGGGAAGTTTTTGCTTCATCGCACAACTTCCCAACTGGAGTGTGGCGGATACAGCACAGGTGTGCTGACATAGTGAGTCCCTGAGTTCAAGCAACCAGAGTCCCCCTGGCTGAGCGATCGGCAGCCCGCTTCCTTAACCCAGTGTGCTGTACGAATATTCGTATTTTCTTTTTTTTTTTTTAAAGATTTTATTTTTATTTATTTGACAGAGAGAGACACAGCGAGAGAGGGAACGCAAGCAGGGGGAGTGGGAGAGGGAGAAGCAGGCTTCCCGCGGAGCAGGGAGCCCGATGTGGGACTCGATCCCAGGACTCTGGGATCATGACCTGAGCCGAAGGCAGCTGCTTAACGACTGAGCCACTCAGGCGCCCCGAATATTCGTATTTTCTTTTTTTTTTTTTTAAAGATTTTATTTTTATTTATTTGACAGAGAGAGACACAGCGAGAGAGGGGACACAAGCAGGGGGAGTGGGAGAGGGAGAAGCAGGCTTCCCGCCGAGCAGGGAGCCAAATGCGGGGCTCGATCCCAGGACCCTGGGATCATGACCTGAGCCGAAGGCAGACACTTAACGACTGAGCCACCCAGGCGCCCCCTCTTTTCTTTTTTTTTAAGATTTTATTTATTTATTTGACGGAGAGAGAGTTAGGGAGAGCAGGAACACAAGCAGGGGGGAGGGGTAGAGGGAGAAGCAGGCTCTCCGTGGAGCAGGAAGCCCGATGCGGGGCTTGATCCCAGGACCCTGGGATCATGGCCTGAGCTGAAGGCAGACGCTTAAGGACTGAGCCACTCAGGCGCCCCGAATATTCGTATTTTCTAAATGTGCCCTGACATGCAAGATGTTGGGAAGCACTGCAAAGGACCGTATTTTCTCTCCACATTATTTTCAGACTTCAAACTTCAGAGCTGCCGTTTAGTGTAGACCCATGTCCCCATCTGATACTTTCTTCTGTCCCCTGAGAGCAGCAACTTACATAGATCTTTGTCTGACACAGAAAGATTCCACAATATGGTGCTTCAACTTGTTAATAATTTGTTAATTTGGAAATTCGTGAAGGGAATAAAATGATACAGACTTTCAGTTATAAAATGTATAAATCCCAGGGTTGAAAAGCACACCACAGAGAATATAGTCAATAATATTGTAATAACTTTGTATGGTAACAGATGGTGACTACACTTATTGTAGTGATCATTTTGCAATGTATATAATTGTCAAAGTACTATGTTGTAATAACCGGAAACTACATAATATCGTATGCCAACTATACTTCAATAAAAAATAAAAAAAATTTAAATATGTAGTAAGTTAGATCCTAGAGAAACAATGGGTGATAGACTAGTGTGACCCGAGTTGTCAGCCAAGACTTGATTTAAAAAAAAAAAATCAGAGGGATCTTGGTGAGTTTTAAGAAGAGAGCAAGATTTGGTAAGAGAAGACGCTGCAAGTTGAGAGTAGGGAATTACGAGCAACAGCAAAAAGGTAGCTTCTCTTTCATTACCTAAATCGCCATGAAAGGTATATGGATTAGGAGGTTGGCCTGACCTCCAGACTAGGGTGGATGCCTGAAACCACAGGACCTGGCAACTAAATTTTGCCCAGTTTTCAGTTGTATCTTCCAGAATTTAGTATAAAGGTTTATTTTCCAAGAGGGAATCTAGCTCCTCCTCCAGACTCCCTTTAGTAGTAATTCCAACCCCACTCTAGAATGATGGGATTTTCCTGACTTGCTGTGGAGGGAAAGAAAGGCAGCCTCTTCTTGGTTTTTGTAGGATCGAGCATCTTGAGATCTATGCTAATCACAAACCAGCTTTTCTACCTCTGGGGCCAGTTAATGCAACCTTACCTTGGGTCTCCTGTAGCTAAAAGGAACCCAGCCATATTCTCAAAGATAGAAAGAATCCAGATGATTTGGTCATCAAGGCAGTGAAAGCAGGGTGGCATAGCCCTGGAAGAAGATGCCATGCTCTTATTCAAGGGAACTCTTAGCTTCATAATTCTGGATTCCAGTGTCTTAATCTGCAGCTAATCTGTATTCTTACTGATTGGCTTTTCTTAATCACAACAGCTCTGTGGAAAGAAAATCATACTGCCTCTGCAAACATTACAGTTTCTCAAGTGTTAGAACAGAATTCATTATTTTTTTTTAAAGATTTATTTATTTGAGAGAGAGAGAGTGTGTGCGCGCACACGCATGTGAGCACGGGGGAGGGCCGGAGGGAGAGAAGTAGACTCCCCATTGAGCAGACTTGATCTTACCACCCTATGATCATGACCTGAGCCAAAACCAAGAGTCAGATGCTTAACCAACTGAGTCACCCAGGTACCCCTCATTATTTTTTGAAATTATTTTCTATCATCTGAATTTTAAACTCTAAACCCATTTAAACTCAATATATTAGGGCATATATTTTGAAAGCTTTTGCAATAGTAGTGATGGATTTGTGCAGATACATCCACTGCTTTACCTCATTTCTCCTGCTGACCAAATACAGACAGTTCTGAAACTACTGAATTAAGGGTGCAGATTCAGTCCATGGAAAGAAGCTCATTGAATGCTTTTGGTCTTCATTGAGAACTTACCGAATTTATCACTGTGCTTACCCCAGAGATGTGGCAGTTCACTACATTACAGAGACTCCTTTGTAAGGAATAGCCGTACCATTGTAGTAGAAAAAGGGATCTGCTTTTATGGATTCTCTTTTGTGTGTTTGGGCTGACTGCTAGGAAACTTTGAGCCAGATTTGCTTCCGAACACCGGGAACTGCATGAGTTACTATGTCATTCTCTGATTATTTAGTCATTTTTGTGTGTTATTTATTTTTTGATCTGTTATTAATGCTTTGGGGAATGAGGCAAGCTTTTATGGAAATACGCCCACAATCGTGATCTTATTAGCACTAGATGTAACTCATTGTACTAGATGTCCATAACTATTGAAAAGACTCTTAATTTGGATATATGCCTTTTAGTCCCATTAGTGGCAACTGCAGTGAACCACTTTTCCAGGGATGTTTGCTAAGCCCTTAAAATCTTTGTTTCTCACAGGTCATAGAGAAGAGATACTTTCTAAGAGAAGGTAATCAGGTCTGTATCTATTCTTGATAAAGTGGGTTCTTAAATTTGGAGAGAGGTGATTTCCAAATTTACTTTTAGAAGTGGTTAAAAAAAAAGGGGGAAATCTTTTGTAGGCACAAGCATTTTCTTCTGTCCTGCTTGACACAAAAGGAAAAAAATCAGATCAAGGGAAAATAAGGTTCTAAGAAACAAAAAGAGTGCTGGAATAAGGTTATATTATAAAATAATAGAAGGAAATCATTTGCTTAAGACTCCAGAAGTATATATGCAGAACCCATCATGATGCAGGCAATTCAGTTAAAAGTGCAATTGGTGGATGTTCTGAGATTCACCTTCATCTTCCCTGATTTAGATGACATTATCACCAGTTTGTTGGCAAATATTTTCCATTTTGGTAGAATTTATTTTATTATTTGATCTGAGTAAAACCTCAGAGGGATGGTTCTTTAAGGAACAACAGGCCGACATAGAGACACAGAAAATAAGGGAGAAAATGGTAAAGGCTATTAGCATTTGAACTCTGCGTGCTGAGACTCAACGTGAATTCTCTTTCTTGCCTACAGATTCCAGGCTTTCCTGACCGGAAGAGGTTTGGGGGAGGAACATTAAAAAGCCTTCATTATGACTGAATTACGCTCATCGTCTGGAAGAGTGAGCAAGCGGTGACATTGTGCACAGCTTCCTTCTTGCCGTGTTGACTAGTAATGTTTCAGCCTTTTTGCAGAATCATCTTAAAATACCACCACCCTTCAGCCTCACCCTTTAATGGAAAGCTGAAAGGAAGTGACTGTGTGGGAGGTCCAAACTTTGTCCCCGTCCTCTCTGTTCCTCACCTTTCTGTCCCTGTTTATAGATTATGTAAAAGCCTTGTGGAAATATGAGATGTTGTCAAAATGATGCAGTAAATGAGCAATGACAGAGTGCTGCGGAGGAAATTTACTCTTCCCAGAACTGGAAGGTTTTTATGGATCTGTAATTTTCCCACATTCCTTGCTGGAGGCTTAATTAAGTACTTCAAAATGTATCTGTGTTGTATTACCCTCTTGAGGGGAAAGGTTATGTTAGCCAGTCCTGGGTCGTGCACCCCAGTCTCTGTCATTTTCAAAGAAGCAAAAGGGTGTTATTTAATTGTGTCCCCTCTCATCACACACAGGATGCCTAAGAATAGCAGCCCTTGTTTCCCTCTCCTCTCCTTTGCAAGAGGTTCAGTGGCTAGAAGAGGCGGACTCCTAGGTGGAGTTAAATATAAATAGATTAATAATACATAGAGAACGGCGGTACCAGAAAAGAAGACTTCTCCGAGAAATGGAGAGCTCACTAAATCCTTCACTCTAGGTTCCAGATGTCTGCACTGTCTTACTGTTTTTCATTTGGAAATAGGTAGGGTGAGATCTCAGACCTTCACGAGGGCAGCAAGAGAGATTTATAGCCTCCTGGGTTTCTGTGTTTTTTAAGGAAAAGTCAGCTCCTGAAATGTCTCTTAACTGTAGTCAGTAAACTAAGAATATTATTCTCTGTGTCAACAATGTATTTATGGAGAGAAGTAAAAATAAGTTCCACAGCAACACATTTACATGAATTATGGACTAGGATTCTTAGATTTCATAATCCACCGTTTTTGAGGATGGTGGTGTATGTGTGCGTATGCATAATTGTTCATCGTTACTTTTTTTACCCATTTTTTCTGCTTGTTTAATTCTCTCTGCCCTGGTTCTTCTTTAATATAGAGACCTCGTTTCCAAAAACTGCAATTTGCTGCCTTATTCAACACCCATTTTCCTGCTCTGGCTCTGCGGCAGGTCTTTGCACTGCTGATTTTGTTCCATATTAAAACAAACTAATAAGCACACAATTTCAGCTTCTCATTTTAAAACTAGGCAAAAAACACTAAATTCGCTTTCTCTTCCATCTTAATTACATTTCAGAAGTACTTTGGAAATCAAGGTATGCTAAAAGAGGATCTTAGAATAAGAATGTTAGCCAATGCTTTTAGTAAGGCAGTTAGAGGAATTTGGAAAAGGATTTTTAAAGCACCTTTCATCAGCTAGAATATTCTCCAGTCTTTCTTCCCATCCTCAGATTTTGTTCCCATCCTTTCTTCCCATCCACAAGATTTAGCCCTCATTTCTTTTTTCACACAAAGGAGAGCTATGCAAATCAGGCTCTGTATGTGGAGTTTGGCACAAGCCTGTTGTGACAGGCTGTGCAGGTAGGAAGCAGAAAGCAAATGCACACACAAGGACCTGAACCAACTAAAGCTCTTTGTATTCCTCTTTTAGAAAATAAATTCAAAAAAATTATACTTACATTATGAAAAAATAAAATACAACAATACAAAAGCAAAAATTACTATATAACCCTTTCCTTCTCTCCCGCTTTCTTCCTCTTTCTTGCCCCTAATTAAAAAAATCTATCTCAATTTCTTTATTTTCTCCCTTATTAAAAAATAAAAGTAACCCATCACTGATGGCTTCAGGGTCAGCCTTGAAAACTTAATGGTACTCCTCAACTCCATTTCTTCTTGCTGTCAGGCTTGACTCCCTGGATTATAGTTTTCTGAGAAAAAATTATTTTTAATCTAAGGTAAATTTGCTGCAAGTATTAGTAGCAGCAAAACAAGGCTGTTTGCCAAAATGAATGTAATTATGTTATTAGCCAAAGTTCTTCAAAAAGAAGCATAATTTTTGCTAAGATCTCCTGAGACCTGCTCATCAAAATTGCTTTTGGATAACGAACAAATGTAAATACTGAAATACTTCCTGAAAAGTGTTAATTAAATCTTTAATTTTCTTGATGGAACAAGTGACTGGCAATAGAGAAAGGTTTTTTTTTTCCTGTTGTGATTCAGATGTCTAACCAATGTTGTTATTTATGGTGGAGGCAACCAGACGTGAAGGCATATGGTCACTCGTCTGTCCCTCAGAGGGTGGCAGGGCCCTTCGTTGGAATCCAACTAAAGATTTGGATTGGCCTCTCCACGTCTGTGCTCTGAAAAGAATTGCTGCTCCCAAAGGGGTCGATCCATATCAGCTTTATCTTGGGTTCTCAGAAGTCCCTAAACTTGAGGCATCTATGGCGGACTCCAAGTGCCTTGACACTGCCGTTGATCTGTCCATTCTGAAAATGGACTATGTGGAACTGATGTGCTGGGCCATCAGACTGAGATGAAGAGCTCCTAATTGCTGCCATGACCAGAGCTTTCGAGTGGCCATTTCAACAGTGTATGCCGGAGCACCCAGCCTAGGGAGGACCTTCTGTGGGTTTTTAATAAATGTTGGTTTAATTGAAATTTTTAAAGCACGGGGTAGCATCTATTTTAAGAAGTTTGAAAGTCTAACAGGACGTCTGCATTGATTTAATATCTGTTAAAATTCAGAGGAGGATACTGTTTGGGGAGAAGGAGGAGAAAGAAAGAAAAAATTCATTCCTCTGTAGTCCCCAGACTGAGTTAAATCACTGTGGTAGGAGAGGAAATGTTCCAGGTGATCTAGCCCTGAGAGAACGCTGAGCCTCTCAAATATTCCCTGGTATGTTTGCCTGAGGCAAAACTGGAGTGGGAGCCTACCGAAAGGGGTCCGATTTTCAGTTACTATTAGCACCTCCATGTAAAGACTCAAAGCAATGGCTTTTAAACTCAAATGTGCATAAAAATCCGCAGAAGTTTTTAAAATGCAAATCTTGGGATTTCATCTGCCCGCACTTGCCCAATTCTGTGTACATAGGATAGCACCAGGATTTTGTATTTTTAACAGGCAAAACGGGTGATTCTGATGCAAATAGTCCAGGATCCACACTTTGGGAAAGATAATAAACTCATATCGCAAAGCAGAGAATATATGGAATGTAGACTCTCTACTTAATGGCACCTTTACAGCTCATCAAAATTCACCTTGGGCTTCCTTTCCATGATCTCACCTTAATGAACTGAGCCACTCATCTCTTTCAAGGTTATACATGCCATAGCAATCATGAAATGATTGTCACATCCTCTATCGGCAAGACAGGAGATGATTGTTTCTGATGTACTGCTACCATTTTTATTACTACCATGTTCTACATTCCAGGTGTATCTATTTCTAATAAGATGCCTTGCCATTTTATCCACGGTCCTCTCGTGTACCACATTTGTTTTCTCAGCTGGCTAATCACTAAGCCTTACCAAGGCCATCAGTAAATACTGGGCAAAGACAAAACCCCTGAACTCCCAACAAAGATGTAAAACCTTGCTCAGTCCCATCAAGTATATCTATCAGTTCCATCTGTTTCTTGGAGACCCTCTAACTATAACTCCAAATCCATCCTGAAGTGATTGCTCTGCAGGCCTGTCACACTCCTTCGCATTGCCCTGTAACAATCCCCAGTTCCCAGGATGTAATGTTTTCCACTTTCTTGGTGTGGATCAGTGGTCATCCAACCGGGATGGGTACAAATATCCCCTCCAAGAGGTACATGGGCACAGATAGTTTTAGGGGAATCATTTTCCAGGTCATCAATCTGCATATGTATGTTAAAATTGATCAGCTTGTGAACACAGCTCGATACCAGTTACTTCCCACCTGCGCGTGCTTTCACAATCGTCCTTTTCCCACAACAGAAAAGAAACCTCTTACTTACGTAGGAATATGGTAGGAATATGGTATATTGCCCCAGAATGTAAATGTCTTAGGATGCCAACAAAAGGACAATTCTAAATATTAGTTTTATTTAAGGATTTTGTTCCACTCACACAATTATTAAAAAAAAAAAAAAAAAAAACTCAGAGCTCTCAAGGAAGAGTTCCTGAGAACAAACCAAAGAGAGTTTTGGTAAATATCCAAGGCTGCGGCACATTCTTTCATGGCAAGGCTTCTTGCTTGGTTTATCAAAATATCAAAATAACATTTCTGTGACAAATAATTATACAGGCGAAGGAGTATAAAACTAATATTTATTTTCCCAACCCTTTCTGAGTGAGTTAGAAAAGATACATCTAAGTGAAAGGGTAACATTTAATTAAAGTCAGTGATTCCAATAGCTGGGTAACCAAGCCTCTTCCAATCAGGTTTCCAATTATTTCCTTGCAACAAAATTAAAGAAGAACCTAACTCAGTTGTTGACAGGTCATTAAAAATGATGTTTAATAATAGATCATTATCTGATTTTTGATATTTAATTTAGAAGGAGAAGTGATACTGTAACAAAATTCCTTCCATTCATATCTACTTACGTATGACAAATTTTCTTAACACATTTGTGAAACCAAAAAATAAGATTAAATGATGCTGAATCCTGTCTTATTCCAGAAATAAGAATTACAAATAAGAATTATTAATTCATGGGTATATGAACTAAGAGGAGAGACATCACCTTATTAAAAGAAGTATTTCCAGAAAAAATTTACCTTTTATATTTATTATTTATCAAAATATAGGTTACTGTCCTAGAGAAGAATCTTCCAGGCTCCCAGCTGGAGGGTAAAACACTTCCTGATAGCATTCTCTGGAAGTGCAGTGAAAGAAGGAGTCTGGAGCTTTCATCATCACTTCTTACACTTGGTTTTGGACCTACTCTCCACTCCCTGTTGCTTGTGAGTCAGGAACGTCTCTGACTTTTCTCCTGGAGCTTCTGTAGAGTGTAAATCTAATTTTACTAGAATCTGGGAGAAGCAGATACCTGTTGTCTCCAATTCCTGGTCCTTTTCAAATTCTCCACCTCATATGTTCCCTGTATCGGTTCACTGAATCTATCCTCCTCTGCCTGGTTTTTAGCATCTTTGTTCTTGTTGCTCACGACTTTGATACTGTGACTCAGTTCTGGCTCAGGATATGTTTGCCTTGTCCCTACACAACCTGCTCTCTCCGCTGGGTGTCCTTTTGAATGCTAAAAACCACACCCTGCCCAGAAGGCACCCCTCTTCCCCTGCTCCAGATGTCTGCCAAAACTCTCCCCTTCCCAGTCTTCCCTCACTAGATGCCTCCGTTCTGCCCTAAACACAGCTCTTAAATGCACTTGCCCTTCCTCTTCTGTGTTTGCACACACTCTTTCCTCTGCTCATGCCCTATCCAACTCATTCCGTGAGACTTGGCTCAGGTATCATCTCCTTTGGGAAGCCTTCCCTGCCCTCCTATTCAGGACTAGGTGCCCCTCAATCCCTCCAATAGCACCCAGGCCCTTCCCTGTCACAGCAGGTATGGTTCTCTGTTGTGATGGCCTGTTCATTTCAGTCTTCTCCAGCATGCTGCTCTAGTAGAGAACAGGACTGAGTTAGTCTTTTTTGTATATCTGGCACATAGCAGGTTCTCAAAAATTGTAAAATAAAGCAATGAATGTGTGGTTACAGTAACTAAAATGGAAACCCATCAGACACAGAATGAGATGGTTCCTGAGTTTTATTTATTCTCATATCCCCTGTATGTATATAGCACAGTGTATGGCACATAGTAGTTATACAAAGCAAATACTTGTTTTATTGCATCACAATTATAAAAACAGAAAAAGGAAATACAGTTAAGCCAGTTAGGAGAAATCCATAAAGTTTGGTGCTAGGTTATTCAATTTTCAAGCCCCTCAAAGTCATTTTCATGCAGTCAGGGATCTGTGACCACTTTTTTACTCTTTCAGAAATCTCCCACACCTTAGGAAAGAGCTTAAACACTCCTTAAATCTGCCTTCACAACTGATTCAGTGGAAAGAACATAGGAAGTTTATGGAAAAATAAAGCAGTAAAGCTTTTCCCTTGTCTTTTATTGACTCCCATTCATTTTTTTTTTTTTTCCCTTAACCACCAAAGACGAACTTGCAGGATCGATAGATTTAAGACCCAAAGAACTCATAAACTCAGATGTAAGAAATATTTTTTCTTGAATTCATTTTTTATTTTGAGTCTGCATACTGCAGGAATAACAAAAACAGCCTCAGGAAAACTGGGGCCTCCCCCAACACATACCATTTCCTCCAAGGTGTATATAAATTCCGGGGAAACTTGCATAGTACCACGAAGTCATCTGTCTATGCTGACATCTGCTGAGATGTCCTATAACTGCCTGGAACTCAGGCATCAAGCCACCCTGTTTGCTACCAACCTGTCATTTGTTGCCTTAATCTGGCCCCCTCCTTGCTAACGCCTCATACACAGGCAAATCATTCTGCTGCTACCGCAGTATGCTGGACCCTGGGGACCTCTGGAGGTAACTTAGACCCATTTATATGGAGCAGAGGATCTAAACTGGCAGCCCATAACCTTCTCAAACCTGCATGCATGTTCTTGACATTATTGTATCCGTTATCTCCCACTGCCTAACAAACCACCCCAAAACTTAATAGCATAAAACACCCCATTCTGTTTGCTTACAATTCTATGAGTCAGCAATTTGGACTGGGCTTTGCTGGTGGTTCTCCTGCTGCTCTCACCTGGGATCATTCATATGTCTGTCATTATCCAGCAGACGCATTGCCTCATTCACACGTCTGGCAGTTAGTGCTGGACTAATGCCCTAACCTCTCTCTTTGTGTGGTTTCTCATTCTCAAGGGGACTAACCCAGCTTTTAGGCATGGTAATCTCAAGTAGTAAGAAATGGACAAATCCCAAGGCACAAGCACTTTTCAAGCCCCTGCTTGTGTTCTGTTTGCTCTTAACCAATGTAAGATTCAAGGAAGCAAGAAAAAGACTACATCTTCTACTGGGAACACCAGCAACAACAACATTACAAAAGAGCAAGCATACAAGGATGGGAGAAAATTGTGGACATTGTTGCAATCTACCACAATGGTTTTATCTATTCCTTCATTCCTTTGTTCTAGTTGCCAATGTTTAAAAATTAGAGCTTCATATAGAAGTCTTATCTTGAAATGCCACCTAGCCTATGTTTCCTGCCTGGTCTGTTGCATTTAAGTTTGTGATAATAAAGCCTAGTTTACAAGATTGTTTTTGTGAAATTAAATGAGATAATGTCTGTGGAAAAATCTGGCACAAACAGGCACTCGATATATGGTTTCTTTCTTCCTGAATACAATTAGCCAAGAAGTGGATGTCTGACCATGGCTAAGGAGAAGAGCCACGATGAAGGGCAAGGGAGTCAGAGAAAAGGTGGCTGGAAAGTAATCTCAATCTGTTTTTAGAAGGGTAAAGGTTTTAGAAAACAGGATTCTTAAAGAATTTATAAAAACACTACATGTATTTAAGAAATGAAGAGGAACAGTAGTAAACACCTCAGTTTGCTTTAAGTGAAGTGCTTCAGGCTCCAGAGAGTTCCCCCAGCTCATCCCTTGGAGGCACCTCCGGATGCCGTCTAGCCCCTGTCCCTATTTCAAGCAGTTGTGTGTAAACACCCGTGTCCAAGCACAGTTCATTCTGTCACGCTCTGCAGAGAGTGAATACCCTGCCCTCTTCCTTCCAGGCCTGACTCCGGACTGAGTGGGGAAGCCTCTGCCACACACAACAGTTCCTTTCCTGGAGAGCTTTACATTCTCTGTCTTTAGTAAGAAGTCTCCTTCTTTTCACTGGAACACGTAACTGGCTAATCTTTACCTCAGATGAAGAGAAGATAGGCCTCTGCAAACTCTTCCAAAACCAGCCGGGTTTAACAAAAACCAAAGGCAATTGTGTAAGCAGTTTGAAAATAAGCATGCTGGACTTTCTCCCTAGTTATCAGTTGGCCAATTCTTGTTGCTAGTTTGAGCTGCCTGCTAACCAGTGAGCACAGTGAAGTGGTGGGAATAACATCCAGAGAGTGGGTTGAAGGAGCAGCAGAGGCATTTTGGCTTCATACCCTCTCTGAGCCTGCGTTTCCTGAAGTCATCACGCCTGCAGCAGAGGGAAAATGGCCGAGTTGAAGGTAAGAGACTCTCTGCCAAGTTTGCTGTGGCTTCTTCAGCCAGAACCTATGGAAGCTTCCGAGAATTCCAGAGTGTCAGAGTCAGAAAGGACTTAGCGAGGTCCCGTTCCAAACCCCTGTGTTCAGAGACTTTGCCATGGTGTCCACAGGCATGGCTGAGGCTTGGGCTGGGGGTTGAGGGAGAGGCGATAAAGAAAAGAGATGAAGCCTTCATTGTCTATCTCTTGCCTTTGTTCATTTGAAATATTGTCTTGGGAACCTGTAGACATCATAAGGGCTCCCCTCCACCATGGTCAGACACATTTCTCACTGTCTGCTTCCCAGCCCAACGCCCTGACATCTTCCCATTGCTGCAGCTTCCTGGACTGCCTCCAGCCGACCAATTAGATTTTCTTCATCTATTCAGTTATTTTGAGGACCCACAATCGGCCCTTGGCCAGTAGAAGCCCTAGCACTTCCTCTAGGAAATAATTCCTTTTTATTATTTAATGTGCATTTGAAAAGTATGTGTGGGTTATGTGCTATTAATGAATTAACTCATATTGTAATCCTCAAAATAAATCTGGGATATAGGCACACTTGTTTCTATTTAACCAATAAGGGAAGGAAAGTTAGGAGAGATTAAGTGGTTTGCCCAAGGTCTCTGCTTATAGGTGATGGAGACCGGATCAGAACCTGGTTTGTCTGAATCCAGATCCCAGGCTCCAAAAGGAGCCTTAGAGGCATCTAATGAACTGAATGCCTTAAGTCCAGGTAAAGGGATTTTTTTCCCCAGTGTCTAAAACCATACCCAGCACCAGGGCTCAACACATGCATGTGGAACTGAATAGAACTGCCCAGAACTTTGACTCAAGCCAGGTGGGCCATACTGCAGACTTCTTTTAGGAGACAGAGTTTAAGCGCTTCCCTAATGCCCTTCAACTGATGCTGAGTTTGAAGAACCAAACATTTCCCTAGTTGATAGGGATCCTGAAAACACTCCACACTGAGGTAAATGAGCTTATCTTCGTGCCTGACCAAGAGTTGGAAAGGCTGCAAAAGAACTCTCATTCTTTCATTCAGCAAATATGATACGTTAGTAGTGATGCCACAGATTAATATCGGAAAGGAACTCAGTCTAGACTAGGTAAGGTCAAGAGAAGCTTCTTGAAGGAGGCTGTTCCTGAGCTGAGTCTTAAGGGAGAAGTAGAAATTGGCCAAGTGAAAAGAGGTGGGGGCCAGAGGAAACAGTGAGTGCAAAGGTACGGCACATGCAGACAGCCCAGAATGTTCTGGGAGCCAAGAGAGTTGCAGCTAAATCTGAGCTGCTACAGGGACAGCCAAGTTGAGATATCCAGGACACGGTGGGATGTATGGATCTGGATCTCAGGGGAGTGGGTAGGGTGGGGAGAATAGATAAGGCAGGTCATCATATCAATGGTGGTGTCTGAAGTCTTAGAAGAAGGAGAGTGCATAAAAATTGTTCCCTGATGAAAATCCTATGGGGAAGTTCAGCAGGGGTTGGAAACATCCTTACCATTTATAAATAAATTATATCTAAAATCCTATCCTGCTGAAATTTTTAGCAACTTAAAATGCACAGCACTGGCAGACCAATGTAAATTGCATGCTGGTCTTTGTTCTCAATTTCAAAGGCTTTCTTCCCTGCCTGCTGTCTAATCTCCACAAGCAAAGGTTAGCTCTAGAGATCAGGAATCCAAATACGGAGAGCCAGATTGCATCATTCTAATCAATAAACATTATATAAGTCAAAAAATATACTTCTCAGCTTTTATTTCTTCATTTTAATGGCTATATCAACACAAAGCCTCAAATGAAATCATTTTACATAAAAGCAGCACAACTGGGGGAAGAAAATTCAAAAGATAAAATAATAAAATTAAATTTCAAATAGATCACCCCATGTTCTTATGTTGCTACACTTCTACAAATCTTGATTCCTCATTTCTAAAATGAAGAGCTGTTTAATATCCAGACTTTGCCCACCCCCACCCCACCAAATATTTTGATTCACTAGGTCTGGGTCTGTGTTTAACAAATTTCTGGGGGTGATTCTATTAGCCAGAGATAGGACCCACTAATACTGTCATTTTATTCGTTTCCTGTTTCTGCTGTAACAAATGACCACAAATTTAGTGGCTTAAAACAACACATACTCTCTTACAGTTCTCAGTCCCTGACGGAGACCCCTTCTCCATCTTGGAAATTCACCGCTCCAGCCTCCGCTCCCCTCATGGCACTGCCTTTTCCTCTCCTGTAGTCAGATCTCCATCTCCCTCTCCCTCCCTCTACCAAGACACTTGTGATTACGTCTAGGGTGCACCCAAATAATCCAGGGTAACTCATCTCAAGGTTCTTCCTTCACCCACATCTGCAAAGTCTCTTTGAGTATATAAAGTAACCCTCACATGACCCAGGGATTCTGACATAGATATCTTTGAGGGTCCTGATTCAGCCTACCACAATAACCTGCAAGTTCCCAACAAACCTCTGTTCTCTGTTCCCAACACCGTTCATTAGAAATACTGGACTCTTTCCACAGGAACAAGGTAGCTCTAACTGCATCTCCACCCTGACTTCTCTCTCTTTCCTTTACACCCAGTGAAAGGCAGTGAGGTGTACCATCTGCTCATCCCATCAGGGTGTTACCCAGAATCAGAGTCGGGAGAGAGCACCTCATAAGCCTACTAGGACACACAGAGCATATCCCGGGGACCAGATGAGGATTTAGAAAGCGGTATACTAGGCGGCTGTCAGACCATCGATGGCACTGAGGTTACATGGAGCCCTGTGATTCTCCTTTCATTTAGAAAAGATTCAGATCGTTCTCTTGGGAAAAAAGTGAAATCAGGGGCTCCTGGGTGGCTCAGTCAGTTAAGCATCTGCCTTCGGCTCAGGTCAAGATCCCAGGGTCCTGGGATTGAGCCCCACATCAGGCTCCCTGCTCAGCAGAGAGCCTGCTTCTCCCTCTCCCTCTGCCGCTCTGCCTACTTGTGCCCTCTCTATCTCTCTGTCAAATAAATAAATAAAATCTTTAAAAAAAAAAGTGAAATCATATTTTTATGTTGGATCCAGTTATTCAGAAACCTGGACTGAAGGAAACATACAAACTCACTTGCTTAATGTTAGATTTTCTTTTCTTCTTGCGTAAGGTGTATTTGTACATAGTCACTGAACCAGCTGGAGTTGAACGCTTGGGTTTTCACAGCTGAAACAAGCAGAGTCCAGATTCTGCCCTTGATCTCAGCGCTTTGGGAAAGCAGCTGCAGAATACTGCTTCCTCAAGGCTGATGCCGTCGGCAGTAAGGGACATGGCATTTGAAAGCTCTAATAAACTCATCTGTAATTCTCTCCGAGGATTAGGAAAACCGACTGACTGGAGAGTGAGTCAGCATTTTCCGCCTCCTCTTCAGCCAATGCACCACAGCTAAGATGCAGAAACCAGCTCAGAACTCACACCTCTCTCGGAGCTGGGTGGCTCCCTTCCAAACTACCAGCTGTTCTTTCTCCTTTCTTTTCTATGTTTTAAAGCAGTCAGAAGCAAATGCTTCAGAACTACATATACTAAGTGTCTTTTCCCTTGGTCCAAAAATATATATAACCCTGGACTCTGTTCTGAGACTAGCAGTTAGGAAGAATGGGGAAGGTTAATAAGTAAACCCACCCATGCGTGGAGAGGATTCGGCGGGATTCCTCAGCACTCAAACCTCCCTGCCTCTCTTGCGGAGAGAAACAATGAGGCAGTTGAACAGAGCAAAGGCGCTGTAATGCTCAGTGGCTTCAGTCACAGACTGGTCTAAAACTCCATTCCACAGAATTGAAGATAATTTGGGGTCATTACCATTTCTCAGCAGCTCAAATTCAATCCCGCTGACCGTGAGCATGAGGTCCATTCTGAGAGAAGAAAACTGAATTCAGTGGAGAGCCCGAATGCGGCACGCTCGGCCATTTCCCAAAGAAATCAGCCCAAACCGCATGTTACTGCTGTTAACCTAACCGTGTATAATATAACTTACTGTTTTTCGGGCTGACAGATTTTCAAATATACAAAAAAAAAAAAAAAAAAAAATGTGTCTGGAGGCAAAAG